CGCAGTGAAAAATCGATGGATGGATTAAAACAAGTGAGAATATTTTGTTTTTATCTGCGAGCCATATGCAATCATCAAAAGAGCCACATCTGGCTCGCGAGCCATAGGTTCCCGACCCCTGCTCTAGTATTTGCTGCAGTCACGAAAGCTCCAAATCTCTCATTGACATGCTACTTTCTTACCCCCCCGTTCTCTCTCTGCCCCCCTCTCTCTCTATTTAAGGCCTCGATACAGAGGCGGTGTTTCTCTGTGTGCCTATGTGTGTGTTTCTCTCTCTGTGTGTCTCTGTGTTATCTCTCTCTGCTCATGTGTCTATGTGTTTACATGTCTGCGTTTTGTCTCTCTCTCAATTTAGCAATATTGGAAGAACGTAATCAACCAGGTAGGGTGTTGACTGTTATGTTAGCCGACTCTTTGTGTTGTATTGCATTATATTCTAAGTTTACTAGGTTTGTTTCTCTTTCATTCGTACCTAATGATTGATTGCTTGTGTTGCAATCGAAACGTCGTATGCTAATATTTACATTGATTTTTCTTTCTACGTGACTTTACTGAAAGAACCAAAGAGTAATTCCTGCAGTCGCGAAAGCTCCAAAGCAGGATATGTTTTTAGTTTTTTGGTATGACTTTTTTTGTTGTTGACCCAGGTCACACTTGCATTCTGGTCTCTTTGGCTTCTCACTTTGTTAAACAAAGCAGACTTGAAACTACGTTAATCTCTACGTATCTCGATGTGTCAGTATTGTATCTCACTATACCTCCACCTGTCTGTATGTATCTTCATGTGTATATAGGTTCTTCTTTTGAGTAGATCTATACATATCTATATGGGTCCATGTGTCAGCATCTTTTTGTATCTCTACGTATATTCACGTGTATATATGTTCTTCTTCTGAGTATATATGTGTCCTATACGTATCTACATGGATCTATGTGTCAGTATGTATCTCTATGTGTCTCTACGTATCTCTATGTATATGTATGGGTTTATACAGATGTAGTGACTGTGAATGTCACTGTGTGGTGCCGGGCTTACGAAGCCACCGCGGATAATTTGTTGTCATGTACAGCCCAGTTGCTGAGCGTAGTACCAGCCCTAGTGGGGTTTGGGTGAGCGCTGGTCAGCATGGAGGCACCACGTACAGTGTGCGGTGCGGGCTCCCAGTGAAGCGGGACGTCCTCGTTGATTGATGTCCAGTCGCTCTGCCGTCGACTGCCCTTCATTAAATAATTGTTGCCAACAGCAGCGCCTGGGTGGTGTTTAAGAGGCCATTTCTCACTCATACCGACTTGGCGGGATGGTCGGAGGCGGTCACGCTGAAAGCGCTGCCCGCCGCCCTTGAAGATGATGCCTTGGCGGCATTCCTCGCTATTCCGCCGTCCGAGCGGTCCACCCTCATGCAGGCGTTTGACCAGATGGCCACTGTTTTCGAGCCCCCGCTGAACACCCACCAAAAGTTCGCCATAAGACGAAAAGGGGATGGTGAGTCAGCTCTCTCCTACCGAAGTGCACTCTTGGCACTGGTGAAGGCAGCGTTCCCGAAAATGGATCACGATGGCCTTGAGAAGATGTCGGGACTCGCCAAAGACCTCCATACTGTGCTCCCTGCCGAGGACGGTGAGGTCTCTTCACTCAAGATCGCCAGGTGCATACAGGCGCAGCAGACCCTGCAACGTGACAGGGTGTTGGTGGCATGCTCTGTTCTTCCGCGGAGCCCGGGGCCCACGCGGACGAGGAGCCTGCTTCTGCTTGCACGCTGCATCAGCGGAGCGGCGATCGTCGGGGTGACGGCAATCGGCGGCAGGATGACCGGTGGTGGGCGAGCTCTGCATAAGCCAAGTCCAGCAGTGGCTGGGTCTCCTACTACAACTGTGGCCCTACCGGGGCATGGTCCAATCAGGCTGCCGGGTTCCTCGACGGCGGCCCCGGGGACGTCCGCCTTCCTACGACTCCCTGCGTCCCTAAGGCGACTCGCGGCACACCTCACTCTCGGCCCCAGGGTTCACTTCACCCATCGGGGGGTCCGATTTGTGTCGCGGTTTCAGGGGGAGTCGGTGTGTGTTTGCGACGCGCGGCCGCTCTGACCAGATCAGTGGTCGGAGCTGGCACATCGAGTGGTTGCAGCGGCCGCGGGGGTCGTTGGCTGTGCTTGGGTTCATTGAGGGGGTTGAAATTCGCATGCTAGTTGACACTGGCACGTCTTCAACCATTATTTCCGACCTCATTTACAATGTTTTGCGCCCAACGGCGGATTGTTAAGGATAATCGCTTGGATTACTGTTGGGTTGCGCATTGTCGATGTCACATTGTCGGGCCATGTTTTGGTTCTACGGCCCTGGCTGTTCCTTGCTTACTGGGACTGCATTTCTCGGCAAAAAGCCTCTGAAGATTTGTATTGACCGGGGCTATTTAGAATTGCCGTCGGGACGGCGTATAGCATTTCTTCCATCTCCGACCCGCATGTGTTCTGCTAACGTCATGGTACAAGCGCTTGCGTGCTGAACAGTGCGGATTCCGCCCGGCGTGCAAATGTTGGTGTCCCTTCGATTGCGTAAACCACTCGATGCGCGCACTGTGGGGGACGGCATTGTGTTGGTTTCCTCAAATAAGCTTAGTTGGGAGATGTCACTCGTAGAGGCTCAGACGCTGGTGTCCCGGGACCAGGCACCATTTATACAAGTCCTTAATGCCGGGTCGGACATGACGGTCATTCAGGAGGGTTCCGTGATTGCACATGCGTCTCCAGTGTGTCCGGAGGCGGATATCGTGGACAATGTCGGGGTTGGCATTCGGGCTCACGGACCTTGGGATGTGGATGAGGCCTGGATGGACAGACTGTGCTCTGAATGTGGCGATTTATCCGCGGGACAAATGGGGAAGCTGAGAGTGCTCCTGCGGGACTTTTCCGATATTTTTAGTAAAAGTAAATTTGATATCGGTTGCACGTCCCCTTTTGAGCCACCATATTGACACGGGAAATGCCGCCCCCTATTCGGTAGAATCCTTACCGCCTGAGCCCGGCCGAAAAGGAACACGTTCGGGCGGCGGTTGATGAGATGTTGGCTGTAGATATCATCTCGCCATCCACCAGTCCATGGGGTGCTCTGATCGTACTTGTTAAGCAGCACGATGCAGTTTGGGGTTTTGTGGTTTCTGTTGCGGATGCATACCCCTTCCCTCGTATGGACGATTCGTTGGAGGCTTTGGTGGGCACGCGGTTCTTTTCCACCTTTGACCTTTTTGTCGGGCTTTTGGCAGCTTCCGCTGGACGAGGCTTCAAGGCCCAAGACGGCTTTTCGAACACCACAAGGGTTGTTTGAGTTTAATCGGCTTCCGATGGGGCTCCCACTCTGTGCCGGCCACCTTTCAGCGTTTGATGGAGTTGGTTTTAGCGGGGCCTCCAGTGGACGTCATTGTTTTCGATCGCACGTTCGATGAGCATTTCATCGCATGCGGGCTGTTTTCGTTAATGTGTGAAATAAATAGTGTTGCTCCAAAGACACACGTCTGCGACTCAGTTGGACTCACTACACATATATATGTATCACTGTGGGTCTCTCTGTGTCTCTAAGTAACATTGGTTACCCCAGGACCATTCTTACAAACTAGACTCTCTGCTTGCCTCTTGAATTCTCACGAGGTGAACCAAAAGAAACTTGAAACTATGGTCCACTCTATGCCAGTCACTGTGACGGGTATTAGACCACAAGATCACTATACTTCAGAAGTGTCCGACCAGTGTTCGCTGAGCTGCATTGATTTCCGGTTGCCAAACGAATATATTATAGGTCACACTCATTACACACACAAACTGCTTGCTACAAATGAACCACAATACCTTGCTGATCTCGTCAAGGAGCATAAACAATTGTAGTGGCATCGCTGGATGTCAACAGGCTGTGGGTGCAGTACCGGCCCTAGAGGGGCACGGCGTGCGGTGTAGCGACATCACCGGATACCACAATGATGTGGTTGCAGTTCCAGCCCTAGAGGGGCCCGGTGTGTGCTGAATAATAGAGCTAGATGGCACCACGCTTTAAGAGCAGTGCTGACCCTACAGGACATGATGTGTGGGTGCCGGCCGAAGGATGAGGTTGTGTGAGGCCATGGCACTCTGTTTGACCCGGGAGGACAGGTGACTGGCTAAGTTGACAAAGGGGCCCCAAGAGGGGGCTGGGGGGGGGTCACGTGATTGGGACCCAGATCCTTCCCGAGGATTCTCGAAGGTAGACGTGGCCAAGCGCGGAGCCGGCCACGCCACAGAGAATATAAGCCGGGTCCCGAAGGGGCCAGGGTTGTTATTCATCCTGGAAGAAACCCTTCGTCTACGTTCTCCGTTAAACGAGTCTCCAACACGTGGACCCGGGCCGAAGTCGTTGGTCCCGGTCCGTAGTAGCAGTTACATTGTAACTAGTGCAGTTAGCCTGGTGATCACCACCATAGGTTGTTATTCTGTTAAGGGGAAGTTACCCCGTGTGTCTGCAACTCAGTTGAACCCATTACACCATCACACAAACTCCGGTCACCAACGCAGCAGCGGCTTTTGGCGAACCATCAAATAAACACGGTCACCTTGCACTTTCAGATGCGTCTGGAACGCTCTTCCAATATTCGGAAACGACTGGCGCGATTAACTTTTAAATCATTTAGATTGAAAACGAATTTATTTCAAACTGCTTTTGTTTAGTTTGTTGTCCTTCCCCCGCACCTTCGATTAACACGGTTGGATACGTACGGTACGAAAGTTCAACATACACACATACAGAAGCCAGTTAAATCACAGGTACAGCTGGAACCTGGAAGCCAATTCAGGCCTCAGTGGTGCTGGCTCAGTGTCTCGAATACGTTTACTATGAACCTTCTTAGAGAGAGACAGGGCAATACCCAGACCCAGGGCTCGAACCCAGCATCTTAGCAGTGCTGGCTCAGTGTCTCTGATACATGAGAGAGAAACACCCAGACTTAGGACTCAAACGCATTAACTCCAACCTGAGCTCACCTGTGATCCGGGCATGCTCAGTATTGCTTCAGTAAAAACGATGAACACAAGTCCAGTTCCTGACGCTGCCTATGTACACACACACACAACACGGGCAGACGAAGGTCTTGGATATAGCTTTGAACTGACTGCTGAGGCAAGTGCTTTTAGCGAGTTGCGCCGATGAAGGCTGGCATGACACACAAAGGGTGTGTGGCCAGCACCACATCTGGCCACACAACACTTTCTATGAGAGTCTGTGAGTTTCCACGAGAGTCTGTGAGTCTATAATAATTGACACTTATAGAGTGCCTTGAAGCTGGAGGTCACAAGTGTACAAAAAAACATGCAGGCTTACACCAATTAAATACAACCCCAACATGAATTATTCACAGAGTAGAAAAAGGCCTTAAAATGTGTTATGTCTTACGGCTTTGATTATAATAACGCGAGGAACTCAGCACAGTGAATGTCCAATGGAAGTGAATTTCACAACCTGGAGGCGACAGCAGGAAAAGAGCTGCCACCCATCGTCCGACAGAGACATGACCTCGGGATGAGGAACTACAGACCAGCGGGAAGGCAGCAAGCAGGTGCCACGCCAGTGTGGGGAGCCGGTACTACCAATAATTGCCAAAACTCTGGTCCGCTATACATGAAAGTGATATCGGCCCAATTGTATGTATGTGTGTGCGTATGTTCAACTTCTTTTGTACTGTATGCAGCCAACGGTGCTAATTATAGGTGCGGGGGAAGGACAATAAGCTAAACACAAAAAGCTGTTCTAAAGAAATGAATTTGTCAATCAAGATGATTTAAAAGTGCGCAGTTTCCAGTGGCTTCCTAATATCAGAAGAGTGATCCAGACGGCCGCAAAAGCGCAGCTGAAAGCATAATGCCAAATTGCCGCATAAAACAAATTTGCATTAAGTGGGGAGTAATTTTCCTGTCAGGAATAACGGTGAAGGTGCCGTTCCAGCCCGGAATTTTATTATAGTTTTAATTTGACTAGAGTACACTGCTTTACGTGATTATTATGTTTTTATGTGTTGTATTTAGATAAACAGTTCTAAAGCAATTAGTTTTCAGTCTAAATGAGGGTGATGGTGAACCGGCACAGGAAGGAATTGAGGGAGCCTCATTTAAGTCACAATGTATCAGTCGTACAGCATGAACTTTGAATAAAATAATTAGAGGAGGAAACCTCTTGTGTTGAAATTAATCAAGAGATTAATTTAGAACGTTGTGCAGAAAAGCACATGAATTATATTAAATGCACGTGCTTAGGCATGTGCTTATGGAAGTCTGTCAAAACAAACCCCTACATCCTTGTGGTGCCGGACGGGCAACGCTGTCGCTTACCGCAGCTTTCGCTTGGAGGTTTGGAGAGCCGTGAGGCGCTGCAAGGATCGGTGGTGGTCGCAGGTTGCTGAGGAGATGGAGTCTGCCTCAATGGCCCGCGATCACAAATTGCTCTTTAATTCCATAAAAAAGTAACCTGCAGCGCCACACCTATTACCATCATTAGGGGAAAGAACGGTGATCCAATCTCCGACCCCCAGGAACAGGTTTGCAGATTTTCTGAGCATTTCTGTGAGGTCCTGGGGGAGAGGACATCCCTCAGCCGGATAACAACGTGGGATAAAGTGGGGATGACCCTGCCGAGGCTGCGGTGCCTCAAATATTGGAAGTCACCCCCTGTGAGTGGCTGAATGAGGTGCCATCTGTTGAGGAAGTACTGCAGGCGATCCAGAGTCTGAGCCCAGGAAAGGCACCGCCAGAGATGATCTCCCAAGCGAAATGCTGAGGGAGGGTGGCGTTTGTACACAGACTGCCCTACATGACATCATAACAATCTGGACCACTGGACGGATTCCGCAGGACTGGAAGGATGCCCTGGTGGTCCCCCTCTTTAAGAAGGGGGACCGCACAGACTGTAACAACTACAGGGGCATCTCACTCCTCAGTGTGCCGGGAAAGGTCCTGGCAAGGATTATTCAACATTGCCTTGCTAGGCACGCTGAGGAGAGGCTTGTGGAGCCCCAATGCGGTTTTAGGGAAGGGCGGTCCTGCACCGATGTCATATTTCCTGTCCGTCTGCTACAGCAGAGGTGTAGGGAATTCCAACAAGACCTACATCTCTGCTTTATTGACCTGGTCAAGGCCTATGATACCATAAATAGGCCTGGGCTCTGGGTTGTTCTTCGTACTTTCGGAGTCCCTGACCCTCTGCTCACAATCATTAAGGACCTTCATGATGGTGAGCGGGCCCGGGTAAAACTATGTGGCCGGGAGTCGGAGCCATTCCCTGTACACCTTGGGGTGGGACAGGGATGTCCTCTGGCTCCAACATTATTTAACATCTATTTCGACCACGTAGTTCGTGAAGCCTTCAATATTTGTACCGGAGGAATTTCCATCTGGTACAGATACAATGGGAGGCTGATCGATGCCTGGGTGCGGTCAAGGGATGGCTCCCTATTGCTCAACCATGTTATGTATGCCGATGATCTGGTAATTGCTGCTCACTCAGAGGAGGAGTTGGAGGTGCTGCTGCTGAACCTGCAGCTTGCCACTAAGAGGTGGGGCCTTACCATCAGCCCCACCAAAACTAAGTACCTGCCTGTGTATTTGTACCATCGGACACTCCACCGCCACAACTCCCAATTGGTGATAGGGCAGTTGTGGAGAGAGTGGTGAGTTTCCCATACCTGTGTAGTGTGCTCTTGACCGGTTCCAGTTTAACAGCAGAGGTCTCACTCCGAATCAGTCTAGCGGCATCATCTTTTCATTGGTTGCGTAATGCTGTGTAGAAGCTACCTGGTCTGTCACTCCGCACAAAGCTTCAGGTCTTTTCGGCCACAGTCATTCCCTCCCTTCTCTACGCCTGTGAAACGTGGAACCCCCTAATGGAATATCTTCGCTGGTAAGAAACATTTAGGCTGGCCTGCCTACGATCCCTCCTGGGTTTAACCAGGCTGGATTGCTTGAGAAGCTCACAAATCCTTGAAAGATCTGAACAAAGTCCCATCGCTGAGCTCCTCCGGTAGGCAAGGCTGCATTGGCTGGGCCATGTAGCCCGCATGCCCAGCCACCGCATGCCTAAGCAGCTTTTGTTCGGCCGGATCAAGGGGGCTAAACGGGCGCGGCATGGGCTATAGAATTGATGGAGTGATGTCGTACATGATATGGAGCTGAGTGTACTTGCTAATGACTGGTACCAGCGGTGTCAAGATCGGCATCTCTGGAGGAGGCTCGTGAAGGACGCTACTGAGGAATTGGAGGCTGTCGCCCTCCAACAACAACGGTGGGGGGAGGAGCGATGCTCACAACAACGAGCAGAGCGCCGGGTGGCTAAAGCACAGCAAGTTGGCACAGTAGGGGGCACAGATGGTGCATCAGCCAGTCATCTCAGTCAGTCAACCCGTGGCACCTGGGTCTGCCCCGTGACCTCCTGCCAGTGGGCGTTCGACACTTCACGTGGCCTTAAGGTGCACATAGCCTGGTACGAGCGTCGTGGTGACATCATCGCCACTTAGTGGCGAATGGCGGTTGTTGTTGGTTGTTGCTTACGGAACGTGCCAAACCCAGCCCAAAATCCATAAAGAAACTCCTCCCATACAATTGAGATGCCAGGAGAGACCACAGTATAATAAGGTTGCATTACAAAGTCGCACTCATTACACACAAAGTGCTTGAAACAAATGAACCGGGATACCTTGCTGATCTCGTCAAGGAGCATAAACCAACAAGTGAACTCCGGTCATCCTCGCAGAAGTTTTTGGCTAACCATCGAACCAAGACGGGCACCGCATCATGCGCTTTCAGCTGCGCTCCTGCGGCCGTCTGGAATGCTCTTCCTTCCGATATTAGGAAGCCACTGGAGATATGCACTTTTAAATAATCTGGATTGAAAACTTAGTTTTTTAGAACTGCTTTTTCTGTTAAATTTGTTGTCCTTCCCCCGCAGCTCCAATTAACAGAGTTGGCTATACGATGAAAGTTAAATATACACACGTGTAAGGTAACCAACTACCAGTATTTCTGTTCAACACCAGTGGAGCGAGAAGCTGAGCACAGAGAAGACACACTACCTGGTTGAGATTCTGCTGCAGGTTGCACGTCAGCATGCCAAGTGAGTGGACACGCTGGGGCCACGTGGAGTTGAGGGAGGCGAGGGCAACGTGGTAGGAGTCTCGCGTGACATTCCCCTCGGCCAGGTCAAACTCGTTGGTCAGCTTGAGGATGTTTCTGCCATGGACAAGATAAAAGATTGGCACAAACTAAAAAGAGCACTAAAGAAATACCAGTGACGGTAATCCCTCATCTCCTGAAAACTGCCGTGGTTGGCAAAACTGCCGCAGTTGGCGATACTCAACCCCGATGTGGGAAACGGGGGTGAGGGCAACCGCGGCCGTGGATGCACTCAAAGCCTCACTAAGTTGCCCGTTCCTTCACGAAACACATGTAAAATACTCAATGACATAATAATAAAGTTCAAATAACGTAATTAAAAAAAATAATGTTCTTTACCTTTAAGACTGAGGTGATGATGACATTGATGAGGATGACGTACTGGGGATGTTCTAATGGTAGACTTGTTAAGACCCTGTTAAGCATCCGACCCCACGAGGAAGCCCCTGTCAAGTATTCGTTCTCGCTTCTGCATGATTAAGGTCACAATTTTATGCAAATAAACAGCAAATAAACGTCAAGAAACTTGGTATAATGCATAGCAATAGGACAAAATCCACACATTACAACGGTCACTATGCAAGAGAGAGGGTTGGTGGTGGGAGTTGGGAGATGAGATGATGCACGGAGGGATCACCAATGCAGGTGATATGAAATTAAACTAAGTTTTGTTTTGTTTTATCAGGTAAGGCCCACTGAGCTATGTAGCTCTTTTTCAGAAGCCACCTGGCTATCACAAATTATAGCTCAACGAAGTGGCTTATAGTGTGGAAATTGATAGCAACCAAATACTCTCAAAGCATGTTCATACATTTATGAGGAAAAAGCCGGAGAGCCTGGAACAACATTCCACACGACCACGGGGAGAGAGACACGCAAACTCCAAATATACAGGCGTCAGGGTTGGAATTGAACCGACGACCTCCTATATACCAGGTGAAGTAGTTAACATCTCGCTACTGCGGTGCCTGTTGTTGTGCCAAAACCGAGGATACACAAAACTCGAAACCGTGGTTATCAAATTGGTATGCCAAAGGAAAAGCATGGACACATAAATACTGCGGATACGAAAAACATGGGTGGTGAGGAATTGTATTCACAAGCACAATTGTCAGCAGTTACAGAACATGCTTTGCCAACAAGGACATTAGAGTGTTTTTGATAACGTTGATGTTTTGTCTAAAACTAATTATTGCTGGCCAAGACTAATTAGATAATCTATTGAATTTGAGATTTTATTTTAACCAATGACAGCTACAGGTTCAGTGCTGCTTTGAAGCATAATATTAAGTAATACACTTAATTGGATGCATATTCATGTCACCGTATATTGATTGACCGTGACTACCTTAACCAGTGATATGAACTGCATATTTTAAGATTAACATATCAATTACAATTTATATTTATACACTAGGGGGAAGTACCCGGCGTTGTCCGGGCGAAAAAGACACACACACATCGACTTACACACAAACACATATGGACTCAAACACACACATCGACTCACACATACATCGACTTACACACACATATCGACGTATACACACAGACAGCGACTTACACACACACATCAATCACACACACACACACTGATTTAAACACACACACATCGACGTACACACACACATCGACTAACATACAAACTCACATACACACACACATTGACTCACACATGTACATCGAGCCACACACACACATTGACTTATACACACACATCGACTTACACACACACACATAGACCCACACACACACATAGAATTACACACACATATAGACTCTCACACATCGACTTACACACACACATCGATGCACAAACACATCAAATTACACACATCGACTCACACGCACATCGACCTACACACTATTCGACTTACACACACACATATGGACTTACACACACACATCGATACACACACATGGACTTACACACACATTGACCCACACACACATCGACTTACACAACAACAACAACCGCCATTCGCCACTAAGTGGCGGTGACGTCACCACGACGCTTGTGCCAGGCTATGTGCACCCTGAGGCCACGTGAAGTGTCGAACGCCCGCTGGCAGGAGGTCACGGGGCAGACCCAGGTGCCACGGGTCGACTGACTGAGATGACTGGCTGATGCACCACCTGTGCCCCCTACTGTGCCAACCTGCTGTGCTTTAGCCACCCCGGCGCTCCGCTCGCTGTTGTGAGCGTCGCTCCTTCCGCCCTCCGTTGTTGTTGGAGGGCGACTGCCTCCAACTGCCCAGTAGCATCCTTCACGAGCCTCCTCCACAGAGGCCGATCTTGACACCGCTGGTACCAGTCATCGGCAAGTCCACTCAGCTCCACGTCCTCCTGTACCACATCACTCCATCTCTTCTCTAGCCCGTGCCGCGCCCGCTTAGCCCCCTCAATCCGGCCAAACAAAAGCTGTTTCGGCATGCGGTGGCTGGGACTTACACACACATCGACTCACACACACACAATGACTCACACACACATCGACTTTCAGACACACACTCAGATCGACGCACACACACATCGACTCACACACACACACATCGTCTCACACACACACACATACATTGACTCACACACACACATCGACTTACACACACAGATGGACTTATGTGCACACATCGACTCAAACAGACATCGACGTAGACACACATGGACTTACACACATTGACACACACACATCGACTCACACACACACATCGACCCACACACACATCGACTTACACACACATATACATCGACGTACACACACACATCGACTCACACCCATCGACTCAGACACACACAGACATCAACTTATACACACATCGACTTGCGCACACACACATCGACTTACACAGACACACATGGACTCACAGACACATCAACTTACACACACACATCGACTTACGCACACACATGGACTTACACACACAGCCACATCGACTCTCACACGCATACATTGACTGACATACAAACACATGGACTGACACACACATCGACTCACACACATACATCGACGTACGCACACACTTGCATTTACACACACACACACATTGACTTACACACGCACATACATCGACCTGCACACACATAGACTTACAAACACATATGGATGTACACACACACATCGACTGACACACATAGACGCACACACACACATCGACTCACACTCGCACACTATCACTTTTATATTTACTAAGTTTTAAAATAATAGTTTTCTATCTACTTTACTTTAGCGAAATAAGCAAGGGAGAGGGGAAATGCACGCGTGTATAATAAGTACGGTAATTAAGAGCGACGACGAGGGTGTTCCGCCATTTTATTGCAAACATTTGCCGCGAGCAAAAGCGGCAAATAAATGAAAGTCAACGAATAATAAATCAACCTATCCTACCTGTAACTATGACCAGATGTGCCTAAATGAAGCGTGATTGACATAACGTCACTGCTCAACCCCCGTACTGAGGGGGCAAGTGTAAATATGTTTGAACCAAGACGTACTAGCAATGAGTATATTTATTGGTTTGCCCCTGTGCAGTAAGTGATATTACTTGGCTGCTTATCCCTCAAGAGTACAGAAAAAGGCTATTCTTCCGCTCAAATTGTTTTTTTGTGAACAATTTAAAAGTAGCACTGTGCTACTTAAGGAGAAAAATCGTGTTACTTAGGGTAACTATCATCAAACATTGGTTAATCACTGTCATTTAATATTTTATAACAGGAATAGTAATGAGTAAACAGTCATGGTAATAAATGTTTGAAGGAAGCTGTAAATCTGTTACCTTGCACAGTGTCCACACGAATGAGAATTGCCCTCTCCCCCCCCACCGAACGCGTGTGACTTGGTAGGGGCGAGCATGCACAGATGCGTGCTTTGGCGTGCGTTCGGAGGAGCGATGTAATAAATAAATCACCAAAACAGCACTAAATTGCTAATTAAACTACTTTAAAGGTGACGGACGCGAAATCGGAATAGCGCTGGCTCACTACGGGACTTATGGCGTACTACCTGGGTACTTTTTTAAAAACGTGAACCCCACGGTTCGCGAGCCAAATCGCTCGCAAGTGTCAGCCACACACAAAGAATGCCTTTTATAGGTAAGATTAACCCCTCCTGCCTGGGTTCTTCACGTTTGGTAGGCGCACAGTGATGACATCACCTTTACTCGATGTAAGACCGGAAACGGGAAGACTTCTTCACAATTCTGACATGTACCTGACGATGCTGGTTGTTGTAATTACCAGCATCATTAACTCAAATACTGTTTGTGGGTTTTGTCTACATTATGCCACCTGATTGGCCGTGTCGAGTGGAGGTGGGCTTGCGACATATGTGATCTAACCCAAAAAAAACTTCATCATGAACAGGGAGAGGGGATAATAGATTTTAACCAATGACTACAACCTAAATAATTTTTTGTTTACTTTTACCAGGTGAGGCTCACTGTAGCTGTTTTTCAGAAGCGACCTGGTTATCACAGCTGACAGCTCAACGAAGCGGCTTATTACGTGGAAATTTATAGCAGTGTAATGTCGTGTAGAATCACTCAGTCGGAAACGTTCCAAGTCACCTGCTTACACCTTATTACTCTCTCTAAAATCGGGCCATCAATTACCCCTTATCGCACCTCTCTCATACCAGTTGTAGGTACTCCTATCTGTCTACTCGGTCACTTTGTTAGCCAACTTCCCTTATCTACTTTACACCTCGCTGACCTGCTTGCGACAGCTCTTCCTCTCAGCAGTTCCGCACTCACAGCTCCGCACACAGACAGCAGCTCACACAGAGTTTGCACACAGTCGTGCTCACACAGAGCTAACACACATCAGCGCTCAAACAGAAGCTTCGCTCGCGCAGAGGCTTCGCTCACACAGAGCTTGCACAGAGCTGCTCTCCCTCTGCGTCGCTGCCTTCGCCTACGTTCCCTCAGACCCACTCACTCATCCGATCCGGGCGGGGGGATCAACCATCACCCGCCCGTCGACTCGTGAGGGTTGAGGTCCATCCCTGGCTTGAGCGGCAGCGGCGAGATGGCTTCACCTTGGTCCCAGAACCCCGAACTCCCGCTCCGCTCTCACACACCCCCTTACATCCTCCTCCCAATTATCCAACTCTTCCCTTGTGTCTCTTTAGGGCCCAACAGGCTGGTGCCTGTCGGGCCATCAATTACCCCTTATCGCACCTCTCCAAGGCGACACCTTCGGTGCTAGCGTACGACCCCGGACCAACCCCGTCCGCAACCGAATCTCCCCTTAAAGAGGTGGCGGTTTGCACGAACAACCTTACGTTGCACACGCGCACCTGCCTGCCCCCGAACAGCAGTGCACACCGCGTATTTTACCACACTACAGCAGTAACCAAATACTCCAAACGTGTGACGTTAATTCTAAATTTGGAGGGAAAAACCGGAGGACCCAGAAAAAAATCCACCATGACCACAGGGAAAGAGAGATACACGCAGATTCCACAGTCACAACAGGCATTGTCAGGGTCGGGATCGAACCCACGACATCCTGTATACCAGGTGTGGTACTTAACATCTCACCACCGCAGCTACTATGATCGCCCGGTCCGTAACGAGGTGAGACTACTGTACCTCTGACGATGGAGTAGCAATACCAAGGCATTGTTCATGATCGTGTGGGTGTTCAACACAAGGTTCTAGATTGAAAACTCATTTATTTAGAACTGTGTTCAATTTGTTGTCCTTCCCCCGCACCTCCGACTAGCACGGTTGGTTATGTACGGTGTGAACAAAGTTCAACATAAACACATACAAGGGTCATCAGGGTGTTGTCGACAGCAAGAGATACAAACCTGGACTCTTGGCGTACAAGTAACATTGCTCCGGTGTTGTCAGCATCACATACACATTCACATTTTGCGAGGCTTGGTGAGAGAGGTGTTTCATTGTATTCTGCTTTTATGTTAAATAAATACCCTCCTGAAAATTATTTCCTTCAGTAGCCAATCTTGTCACCCATACAAAAACAAGCTACTCAGCCTCACTACAAATTTTCCCAGTGACTTCCATTTCCACTGTACCGTATGTTGAACTTCTTTCGCACCGTACGTAGCCAACTGCACTAATTAGAGGTGCGGGGGAAAGGGAACAAATGATCACTGACACCTTTGAGAAAGGACAGGGATGATCACAGAGGGAGAGCGAGTTATTCTCAACATCACGCGACCAGAGAGACCGGCGGGGCAGGTACCCGTCCAGGCATCCGGTGAAAGCCGTCGTGGCCTTGAAGCCCAGGATGCTGAAGATGGGAATGGAGGCGAATAGCGATGTGGCGCTGTTGATGCACGCGATGGTCACAGCATCCCTCTCGCAGTCGTTTCTGTCCCACAAAGACGAGGGTCAGGAGCGGGTATGAGCATTGCACCTGGGACTTGCACATCCGACGTTTGATTCAAATGTGAAAAAGGTGAGTGAAAAAAACCTCACCACGACAGAGGAAAGCAAAGAAACGTTCTACTCTGTAAATCTGTAAGGCTGTAACTGTAACGGTCTAACTCTGTAATTCTGTACCTCTGTATTGCTGTAACTCTGTAACTGTGTAATGCTGTAACTCTATGACTCTGTAACGCCATAACTGTAATGCTGTAAATCTGTAACTCTGTGAGGCTGTAACTGTGTAACTGTAAGGTTGTAACTCTGTAACGCTCTAACTCTGTAACGCAGTAACTCTGTTAATGTTGTAACGATGTAATACTGTAACTCTGTAACACTGTAATGCTGTAACTCTATTAACGTTGTAATTCTGTAACGTTGTAACACTGTAACTCTGTTATTCTGTAACACTGTAATGCTGTAACTCTGTAACGCTTTAACGCTGTAACTCAGTAACGCTGTAACGCAGTAACTCTGTAACGCTTTAACACTGTAACTCTATTAACTTTGTAATGATGTAACTCTGTAATGATGTAACTCTGTAATAATGTAACTCTGTAACGCTTTAACACTGTAACTCTATTAACTTTGTAATGATGTAACTCTGTAATGATGTAACTCTGTAATAATGTAACTCTGTAACGCTTTAACACTGTAACTCTATTACTTTGTAATGATGTAACTCTGTAATGATGTAACTCTGTAATAATGTAACTCTGTAACGCTTTAACACTGTAACTCTATTAACGCTGTAATTCTGTAACGCTGTAATTCTGTAACCTGTAACTTTGTAACCATGTAACTATGTAACTCTGTAAGATTGTAACGCTGTAACTCTAACGCTGTAACTATGTAACTTTGTAACTCTGTAACCTTGTAACGCTGTAATTCTCTAACATTGTAACTCTTAATGCTTTAAAACTGTAACGCTGTAACGCCGTAACACCGGAATGGTGTACCTCTCTAGCACTGTAACTCTGTAACGCTGTAACTCTGTACATCTGTAACTCTGTAAATTTGTAACTCTGTAACGCTGTAACTCTGTAACGCTGTAACTCTGTAACGCTTTTTTAACGCTTTAACGCTGTAACTCTGTAACGCTGTAACTCTGTAACGCTGTAACGCTGTAACTCTATAACGCTGTAACTCTATTAACGCTGTAACTCTATTAACACTGTAACTCTATTAACACTGTAACTCTCTACGCTGTAACTCTGTAACGCTGTAATTGTGTCACGCTGTAACTTTGTAACCATGTAACTATGTAACAACACTTTCCTGTTCCGATGATGTACGTGTACATAATCATCAGAAAATAAACATTAATACAAAATAACTTAATCGGTACAAAGCCTCCCATAAGGCCATGCGAGAGGACGTGTGGCACAGTTTGGTGCCGGCTACAGTATAGTGTGGCCGTCGTGTCGCTACAGTTCTCTGCTGTGAGTACGCTGTCTTTAAAAACAGCGACACTACGCCTCTAATTTTAATATAACTGCTTTTTGTTTTTAGATTGTTGTCCTTCCCCGCACCTTCGATTAGCATGGTTGGCTACGTACGGTATGAAATAAGTTTAACATGTACATACAACATATATATGTATCTAGGAGAGTTTGTGTCTCCTGTGTGAGACCACGTGTCATCGTGCAACTCTGTGGATCTCCTGTGTGTCTCCTGTGTGAGTCTACGGGTCTCAGTGCAAGCCTTTATGAGAGTCTGTGAGTCTCTGAACAACTCTGTCGGTCTCCTGGGGTGAGTGTTCGAGTCTCTGAGAGAGTCTGTGGGGGTCTCAGTGCGAGGCTGTGGGTCTGTATGTGAGCCTGCACTCTATGGGGTTGTAGCTGGAGAACGCCATCATTCCTCCAAAGCCGAGGCCCAGGGAGTAGAATATCTGCGTGCTCGCATCGAGCCAGACCCGCGGGTTCTTCAGAACCTCCAACTAAGGGAGAGATGGGGATTGGAAGAGAGACAGAGATAAATGTGGATGAGATCGATGCCCTGGTTTCAGTCAACCAAGTTACGATGGTCCGACTTGCGATATTTCGATCTTACGAATGCGATAGCGATACGACAAAATTGTAAAATATTTAACATTTCGCGCGGCAGGCATACGTTCAAGTATGGTGATGACGGACAGAATCTTGGTGAGTACAGTACAATATATGTTACGATACATTCAATGCATGTATGATACGTAGCTTTAGCGATTTAATTTTAGGGTTACCACTATACGATACGTTCAATGCATGTTAAAAGTTTTTTTTTATGGCAGATAGGATTGTTTTCTGAAAAAACTTTCTATTTAATTGCAGTTCATGTAGGTAGGCTAATAATTTACCTTGTTTCTTTTCTTTACATTTTACTGTGCAATACAGTATTGTAATTAATAAATACATACAGTATATAGTTTATACAGTACGGTACTGTAAATTGCTCTGTTTTGCTAAATTATCACCATTCTTTAAGACTCCTGGGTAGGCTAGGCCATCTTCGACTTACGATATTTTTGACTTACGATGGGGTCGTCGTAATGCATCTCCATCGTAAGTAGAGGACTACCTGTATATTAGTCCTTGTGTAAGGTTATAGGTTTCTGTGTGACTCTATGGGTCTCAGTGTGAATTTATGGGTTTTATTCAAATTTGCAACATGGTGCTGGCAACGCAAGGGGCTACTATTCTTGCGAATTAGGTCATGGCATCCCGTTTATCCCCTGTGAATGAAGTAGATGGTGTAGAGGCTCCCACAAGGCCATGCGGGAGGACGTGTGGCAGAGTTTGGCACCAGCTATCGTAGAGTGTGGGGGTTGTGTCGCTACAGTTTGATACGGTTAGTCGAATGTCTTTAAAAACAAAGGTGCTACGCCTCTCTAGATATAACTAATACTGAACCGTTTGCGCATTCCGAGATTCAGCAGTGAACGGGACACTCACCCTGCAACTTCGAGTTGTCTCAGAAAGGGAAAGGGTTCATATAGCCGGACTACTTGCTATAATGCGAAGAGTCTAGCGTGTGACAAACTACTCGCTATCACCTGAGGAGTCTAGCAAGTGATGGACTATTCGCTATAACAAAAGGAGTCTAGCTCATGACAGACTACTCGCTATAATGCAAGGAGTCTAGAATTTGACAGACTACCCCCTATGCCTCGAGTCTAGCGATTGACAGAATACTCACTATAACGAGAGCAGTTTAGCGGGTGATGGACTATTTGCCATAACGCGAGGAATCTAGTGTGTGATGGACTACTCGCTTTAACGAGAGGAGTCTAGCATGTGACGGACTGCTCGGTATAACAAGAGGAGTCTTGTGCGTGAGGGACTACTTGCTATAACGTCAGGAATCTTGCACGTGACAGATTATTCACTATAGCGTGACGAGTCTAGCGTGTGACGGACTACTCGCTGGAATGCGGGAAGTCTAGCTTGTGACGGACTACTCGCTATAACGCAAGGAGATGAGCGAGTGACACACTACACGCTATAACCCAAGGAGTCTAGCATGTGACAAAATGCTCGCTATAACACGAGGAGCCTAGCGTTTGAAAGACTACTGGCTGTAATGAAACAGTCTAGCGCATGACAGACTATTAGCCATAACGCGAGGAGTCTAGTGTGTCACCGACTACTCGCTATAATGAAAGCAGTCTAGCATGCGATGGACTGCTCACTATGAAGTGAGGAATTTGGCCTGTCACAGACTGCTCGCTATAACGTGAGGAGTCTAGCATGTGACTGACTACTCGCTATAACGAAAGCAGTATTGTATGTGATGGACTGCTCGCTATTAAGTGAGGATTTTAGCACCGTGACAGACTGCTCGCTATAACGTCAGGAGTCTAGTGCGTGACGGACTACTCGCTATAAAGTGAGGAGTCTAGCATGTGACGGACTACTTGCTATAACATGAGGAGTCTAGCATATGATGGACTGCTAGCTTAAACACGAGGAGTCTAGCTTGTGACGGACTAGTTTGCTGCAATTTGAGCAGTTTAGCGTGTGACGGACTACTCGCTATAATTCTAGGAGTCCAGCATGTGATGGGCTACTCGCTATGAAGTGAGGATTTTAGCCCGTGACAGACTGCTCGCTATTAACGTGAGGAGTCTAGCATGTGACTGACAACTCGCTATGACATGAGGAGTCTAGCATGTGATGGACTGCTCGCTATAACGAGAGGAGTCTAGTGTACGAGGGGCAACTCGCTATATTGAGAGCAGTCTAGCGCATGACGGACTACTCGCTATAACGTGAGGAGTCTAGCGTGTGACGGGCTACTTGCTATAACATGAGGAGTCTAGCCTGTGATGGACTGCTTGCTATGACGGATGGAGTCTATACAATAACGGACTACTCTCTATAACGAGAGCAGTTTAGTGCGTGATGGAACATTTGCAACAATGCAAGGATTCTAGTGCGTGACGGACTCTTTAGTATAACGAGAGGAGTCGAGTGTGTAACGGACTAATTGCCATAACGCGAGGATTTTAGCATGTGATGGACTGCTCGATATAACAAAAGGAGTCTATTGCGTGACGGACTACTCGCTATGACATGAGGAGTCTTGCTCATGACAGACTACTCGCTATAACATGAGCATAGCATGTGACAGACTATTTGCTATAACGCAAGGAGTTTAGCATATTATGGACTAATCGCTATCTTGCGAGGAGTCTCGCGATTGACGGACTAATTGCTATAATGCGGGGAGTCTAGCTTGTGATGGACTACTCGCTATAACGCAAGGAGACGAAGGAGTGACAGATGATGCGCTATAATGCAAGGAGTCTAGCGTGTGGCGGAATGCTCGCTATAATTTAAGGAGTCTAGCGTGTGACGGACTATTTGCCACAACGCGAGGAGTCTGGTTTGTGCCAGACTACCTGACGGACTACTCGCTATATTGCAAAGAGTCTAGCTCATGACAGATTACTCGCTTAAAGATGAGTATTTTGTGACAGACTACTCGCTATAACGCTAGGAGTCGAGCCTGTGATTGACTACTTGCTCTAACATGAGGAGTGTAGCGTGTGACGGACTACTCGCTATGACATGAGCAGTCTAGCTTGTGATGGACTGCTCGCTATGAAGTGAGAATTTTAGCCCGTTACACACTGCTCGCTATAACGTCAGGAGTCTAGCATGTGACTGACTACTCGATATAACATGAAGAGTCTAGCATGTGATGGATTGGTCGCTATGAGGCGAGGATTCTAGTGTGTGCCGGGCTACTCGCTATAACATGAGGAGTCTAGCTCATGACATTACTCACTTAAACATGATAATTGGTTTTTTACCCTTTTATCTGGCAACAAAACTGACACCTTTTTTTTACAAGGAGTCATGTTTACATTGACCACAATTCCTGCGGTCGGAACGCAAACAAAAAGCAACAACTCTGATAATGTATGCACTGTCCTTGAAATTGATTGGTCCACACCCGAGACAGCTTTCTTTAGAGCCTCGTCTCACATGGTGTTGGACCAGAAGACGCCCAAAGGTGCACAACTCAAAGACAATGCACCATCAGAGTATGAGAGCTCGGGGTAAGCATTTACACCATTGGAAACCTCATTTGCCAGTAATAAAATATGATAATTGTTTTTTTGTGGTCAATGTAAACATGACTCCTTGTAAAAAAAAGGTGTCCGTTTTGTTGCCAGATAAAAGGGTAAAAAACCAAATATCATATTTTGTTACTGGCAAATGAGGTTTCCAATGGTACTCACTTAAAGATTAGGAGCCTAGCATGTGATCGACTACTCGCTATAATGCAAGGAGTCTAGCTCATGACTGATTACTTAAAGATGAGTCTAATTAGTGACGGACTACTCGCTATAATGCTAGGAGTCTAGTGTATGACAGACTGCTCACTTTACCTCGAGGAGTCCGGTACATGACAGACTACTCGCAATAACAATAGGATTCTAGAATATGACGGACTACTCGCTATAACGCAAGGAGTTTAGAACGTGACAGATTGCTCGCTATAATACGAGGAGTCTGGCATGTGATGGACTACTCGCCATGACATGAGTCTAGCTCATGACAAATTACTCCATTAAAGATGAGGAGCCTAGCATGTGACAAGACTACTCACTATAATGAAGAGTCTAGTGTGTGACAGACTTCGCAATAATGCAAGGAGTCTAGCGCGTTATGGACTAATGGCTATCATGCGAGGAGTCTACCGCTTGACGGACTAATCGCTAGAATGTGCGGAGTCTAGCTTGTTACAAACTACTCGCTATCATGCAAGGAGACGAGCGAGTGACAGGTGATATGCTATAATGCAATCTAGCGTGTGAAGGAATGCTCGCTATAATGCGAGGAGTCAAGCGTGTGACAGACTACTCGCTATAACGAGAGCAGTCGAGCGTGTGACGCACTACTCACTATAACAAAAGGATTCTCACATGTGACTGAATGCTCGCTATATCGTGAGGAGCCTAACATCTGACAGACTGCTCGCTATAATTCGACGAGTCTTGCACTTAACTGACTTCTCGCTAGAATACGAGGAGTCTAGCTTGTGACGGACTACTCACTGTAACACAAGGAGTCTCGCATGTGACGGAATGTTCGCTTTAACGCGAAGAGTCTAGTGCATTATGGACTACTTGCTATAACGAGAGCAGTCCAGCACATGACGGACTATTTGCCATAACATGAGGAGCCAAGAATGTGACAGACTATTCGCTATAACGCAAGGAGTCTAGCGCGTTATGGACTAATGGCTATCATGCGAGGAGTCTAGCACTTGACGGACTTATCGCTAGAATGTGGGGAGCCTAGCATGTGACTGACAACTCGCTATGACATGAGGAGTCTAGCATGTGATGAACTGCTTGCTATAAAGAGTGGAGTTTAGCGTGTGACAGACTACTCCCTATACCATCAGGAGTCTAACTTGTGACGGACTACTCGCTATCAAGCGAGG